TGTACGAGTGGACCCGTATGCCGTTTGGTTTAACTAATGCACCTGCTACATTCCAGCGAGTAATGCAGAGTGCTATGAGTGACTTTCTATTTCAAATAATGTTGGTGTACTTGGATGATATACTGGTTTACTCAAAAACTTGGGAGGACCATCTAAAAAGGTTAGAACAAGTGTTTCTCCGTCTTAGGGAGATAGGAGTAAAGCTGAACCCAGACAAATGCTGCTTTGGTCTGAAATCGGTACATTTTTTGGGTTATGTGATTTCGTCGGATGGCATCGCCACTGACCCAGATAAAATTGCAGCTGTTAAAGAATGGAAACAACCAACAACTACGGTAGAGGTCAGATCATTCTTGGGCTTTGCTTCCTATTATAGAAAATTTGTACCTGGTTTTGCAAAAATTGCCGCACCATTGCATGACTTGGTAAACAAAATGACAAAGAAACACAGTAAGGAGAATAAGAAAGGTAAAACACACCTGATAGGTGAACTATGGACTGATGAATGCCTGAACTCGTTTAAGCTCTTGAAAAAGGCTTTGACAGAGGCGCCGATATTGGGATACGCGGACTTTGACAAACCATTTCGGTTAGAAATCGACGCCAGCTCTAAAGGTCTGGGAGCTGTGCTATCACAACAACAAAAGCAAGGTTTCAGGGTTATTGCGTATGCCAGTCGAGCTCTGAAGGGATCAGAGAGGAACATGACAAATTACAGCGCCATGAAACTAGAACTTTTGACATTAAAATGGGCTGTGACTGAGAAATTCAGGGACTATCTATTAGGTGCTAAATGTGTGGTATACACTGACAATAACCCCTTGAGTCACCTAAAGACAGCAAAGTTGGGATCCATCGAACAGCGATGGGCAGCAGAATTGGCACTCTTTGACCTAGAGATAAAGTATCGCCCGGGGCGGTCCAATGGCAATGCGGACGCCTTATCAAGGAATCCTTACGAGAAACCGGGTGATGAGGAAGAAACGCTGACAGGAATATGTGAGGTCAGAGCGTCAACAGATATCCCTCATGGGGTACAAGTAATGCAGAACGGGCAGACCGGGGTGGAGCACATATCCACAGAGCCCGAACATATGGACAGTAGTGATTTTAATTGCCTTAATCACAAAAAGATAAGAGATGCCCAGAGAACGGATAGTGGCTTACAACCGCTATTGAAATACGTCCAGGAACAAAAATTCCCAGGAAGAAGGGAAAGAGAACAATTTGGTCGACAAACAAAGAAAATACTGAGTCAGTGGAACCGTCTCAGTATAAAGGATGGTGTTCTCATGCGGAGAATTCATGACCAAATTGATGGCACAATACACCAGGTGGTGGTGCCTGGACAATTACGAGAAGAAGTGCTAAGGTTGGCACATGACAGGGCAGGACACCAGGGTCAGGACAGGACGCACAAAATTTTACGACGGAGGTGTTACTGGCCCAATATGGAAATGGAGGTCAAACGCCATTGTGAGGCTTGTGTGAGGTGTCAGCATGCGAAAATGCCAGTTGTCAAAATGAGACAGCCATCAGGACACCTACTGGCGACAAAACCACTAGAGATTGTGGCTATGGACTTTACGTCGTTGGAGCAATCATCGGATGGGACGGAACATGTGTTGGTAATGACTGATGTATTCACCAAATGGACTGTGGCGGTGCCCACACGAGATCAGACTGCCAAAACAGTGGCAAAGGTCTTATTAGAACATTGGTTCATCAAATATGGCATACCAAGACAATTACACTCTGACCAAGGAAGGGCCTTTGAGTCAGAAGTAATTAACCAACTGTGCAGTCACTACGGGATCAACAAATCCAGAACAACCACATTTAATCCGAAAGGAAACGGACAGTGCGAACGGTTCAACCGCAGCATGCATGATTTGCTGCGTACTCTAGAACCTGAACAGAAAAAACGTTGGCCGGATTTTCTCCCAGAGTTGGTATATCTATACAACTGCACCCCACATGCCACAACCGGCTTTTCGCCACACATGTTGCTGTTCGGACGGGAGGCTCGACTCCCTCTTGATTTGTTCTTAGGAAAAAGGGAGAGTATGACTGGCTCATACACCGCACTGGAATATGTGAATGAACATATGAGAAGAATTAGAGAAATGTACAAGGTAGTACAGGAAAGACTAGAACATGAATCTCGGCGAAGGGAACCGCCGATACAGACAAAGGACCCGCCACTCGAACTGAACGACAGGGTATTACTGCGTAGCCACCCGTTAGGCAGAAACAAGATCCACGACCTCTGGGGACAGGAGATATGGCAAGTCGTGGAGATGCCTAAAGCAGCAGGTGGCCCCTTTAAGATAAGACCCATCGATCACGCCAAACCGGATCGGTGGGCGAATATTGCTCAATTAAAGAAATATTGGAATAGGCAAGAAGAGCAGTTACACATAGAGAAACCCAAGACAATTAGGGAACCGGAAGTTACAACGGAAATTCACATACCCATCCCGAAACAATGTCACCATCAACAGAACAACAGCGATACACAAGGGGAGGATACCGGCAACAATGAGGATCCCGGTCCCTCCAGAAGCAAAGAGACAGTAGACCATCAGATAAGTGGTCCGCGGAGAAGTTTGAGGAACAGAAAGAATACGAAATTTTTTGTCAGCAATCATCAATTCTTTCATGGTCGCGCTGGTATGAGAACAGACTGTTCAAAAAGCTATAAAAGTGAACTGGTGAAAGCACCAAATGAAAAAGGTGGATGTGAATTCTAGAACTGTGTTGTGTCTGAGGAGGATTATGTGGACACAGTTGATGTGAAATAGGTATAACTGTCAATCATATGCGAATGGGACGACATTGACAGTGAGTGGAACAATAAATTTTTGTATGATGGTATGATTGACTTTGAAGGATTGCACCTGCCAAGCGTTGTTTGTGGTTGATAACACACAAAAAAAGGCAGGGGTGGATGTAACTGGGGTAGGCCTAACTACCAGTTACAAATGATAACGAACGATAAGCCGCGACGCAGTTTACAATCTGATGCAACCATAACAGGTGGCTTATTAGATCGGACGGATAACAACCTCAAAGCCAACGCGTGCTATTTTGGGAAATGGTACGAGGAGATTTAGACGATCTGTCAACTTTGATTGATGGGATGCAGATGTTTTATTGGATCGGACTGTACGTCAGAAACTGCGCCGTTGGTATTCGGAGACATCGATTACAAGTATCGATTACGGAAATGGATACAAGTACGACTACGATTTCAAGGGATAAATAGGAGGGGACGGCTGAGCTCGACCTCTTACCTCTTTCATCGCTCGCTTAGATCAGTCAGTCTGTGTGACTATGTCAAGTCGGTTATAGAACGGGTTAGCCGTATTGTGTTAAGAAGGATTATAGACATGTGGATTCAGTTATATAAAGCCTAGTGAAGGACTGTTAGGGGTCAGTTGATTCAGACTATTATTGAGAAGCATTCCTGTTGATTTATTGTGTTATTATGAAGCATTTCTTGATTCATGTAATAAAGGATCAATAGCGAACCTGCATCTTGAGTATCTATACTGTGGTCAATGTTGTCTAGAATGAGTGGTTAAACTCGTTAACACGTGGCACTACAGGCAATTAGGTCTCATTACATGTGGCGTTGCGAGCATGGTAACTGTTGGCTCGTTACAATTGGCGTTGTCGGCAGGATAAATGTTCGCCCGTTACATATATATATATATATATATATATATATATATATATATATATATGTTTGCGCATACATGCATACATAGGATATGTTTTATCTTTAGATAAGTGTATATATATATATATATATATATATATATATATATATATATATATATATATATATATATATATATATATATATATATATATATATATATGAACTTATTTATTTACAAGTAAGCACATTTTCAGAGAGAGAGAGAAAAAAAATAGTTATATATAGGCCTATAGGCCTAATTATCTTAACATAGCTATAAAAATTTAATAAATATACATATCTATATCTATATATATATATACATATATATATATATATATATATATATATATATATATATATATATATATATATATATATATATATATATAAATGTATATATAATTTACTATAAGGTATTGCCTATCTTTATACTCTGTAGTGTAGAATAAAAATGCAAACAACAGTACTACATCATTCATGCCAGAAACCTGAAAAGTGGTTGCGAAACAGAGATTGTGGTAGAAGGTATTGTTTGGGGGGGGGGGGGGGGGTTGGGTGGTGGCCCAGGTAAAGCATAACCTCGAGCTAGTGCAAAAAGTGAATCGCTAAAGTTTCAGGTGTTGGCAGTAGTACATCACAAATGATCAACAATAGCGAATGTACATCACTGTTGTTTTTTTTTAATCAGTAGACATTTTAAAGGGTTTTAGAAATAGAAACTACGCTCATTTGAAAATTTAAGTTGTGCCTCCTTTTAACTCAAAGTACATAACATGCGAATACTTGTATGAAAAAAAAACGTTAAAATATTTCATTAATTACATTCGCGTTTTTAACTTGAAAGGATATTTAAAGCATCTCTATATGCATTTAATTGTCTTTAAGACATTTTTGTCATTTGTCAGCGAGGATGGATATAGAAAGTGTGAAAACGCTCATCAGAATCTCATTATAAACTCCATTACTGAGCCGATTTCGTAATTACACTAACAGCTTTTGTCTATTTTAAATTTCAGCGTGTTTCTTTTAAGGAAATCGTCATTTATCTTTTTATTTTTGTGCCCAAGACACATGGGTCCGCCATAAGGAAATTGATGTAAACTTTTTAAAAGTTACATTGAAAACAGCTATACGAATTCTAGACAATTGAGAAACTGAGATGTTAATTTTTTTTTTAATATAGTGAGAGTTGGTGAGTACCGTATAGAAGACTTACATTGAGTACCGTATAGAAGACTTACAGTAAGTACGACATAAAAGACTTACAGTGAGTACGACATAAAAGACTTACCACTGGTGGCATGGTGTGAAGGGTGAGTAAGAAAATTAGTTGCACGGCCGAAGAAGAGCAAAGCAACAGATTAAAATAGCAACCAGCCTGCCGGAGTGTGAGCGGCTTCTTGAAATGTGAGGGAAGAAAAGATAGTGGTTAAAGTTGGGGGGGGGGAGACAGGGGTGATAAGGGATAGTCAGGGTGGGGAGAGGTGAAGGGAAGTGACGTCATTGAGGAAATATACTATGTCGTGCGGGTTGGGGGGAAGGGGGGTTTGTACAAAAGCAGTGGAATACAATGGGGGATTGAGATAAACTTTGTGAAGGTTAAAGGTCAGATGGTTGCTGTGAATGAGGAGAAGGGTAGAGGAGCTCATGAGAGAAACGTCTGGTCTAGGGGAGGGGTGGTGTGGGTGGGGGGCAGGGGGGTGGATATAAAGTTTGATGGGATAGAGGGTGATATGAGGGGTGGGTGGAGGTTGGGTGGAGGGATCTTCTTCTTCTTCTTCGAGCTTAATTAAGTATATGATGGAGGATTTAAACAACAAGCCCAACTTTGTGTATGAACTGGACTGTGGTCTCGGTGGAGGTATGAAGGGGTGGATAATATAATGTTTGATGGGTTAAGGGGTGATAACGTGTGTTGGTGGATGGACGGAAAATTTTTAGGACGGGTGGAGGAAGGGGTAATTGGTAGGAGGGCTATGGATTGGTCAGTGGATAGATAGATGTGTAGGTGGATAGTGTGGTGGATGGAATGGCGGGTGGATCGTGTGGTAGGTAGAGGGGCGGGTGGATCGTGTGGATGATGGAAGGGGTGGGTGGATGGCAAGCTGAAGTGAGTGGTTCTGTGCAGGTAGATACGTACTTTTGGCCAGGTATCTCTCCACGTTTACAAGTTGTTTGCCAAGAACAGTCCAAGTGTGCAGGTATGACAGGTGTAAGAAAATATTTTTCCCCGGATTTTTTTCTTTTCTTTTAAAAGAAGAAAATAAATCAAAATACAATTCTTAGATGTTTATTTAGTCAGCATCTTTATTCCTTCATGCCCAAAGTGCATGAGGCAGATGAAGTAGAGTTCATCGGTTCAAGTGTTCTCAGCATATGAAGGATAGTGTGGTCAGCACTCTGCCGAATCTGTTTCCCTAACTTGAGTCAAGTACCCATCAAACTTCAGACTCTAGCCGGGATCCGAACTACAGACATTTGGTTTCTCAGTCAAAAGCATTATTAGTAAACGATCGTAAAAAAAACTTCATGTTAGATATCATTTCAAATTTGCATTTGCCGAATCTTTCACCAGATTGTTTTTTTTTTATCTCACTGTTTAACTTCGTTTTTAGATACTGAACTCATCAAGGATTTAAAATGGTCTTGTTTTTTGTGTGATACAAATTTTAACTACTAGTAACGTATCCGTAAGTCAAACACCCCTATGACGAAAATAAGACTTGCCTTTAACTACGTCAGAACTATCATACCCCCCCCCCACCTGTCTCCCCCTCCCCATCCCCCCTTACCCCAGCTCCGCCGATCAGGTGATCACCGAAGATAAAAAGCAGATTCTCTCCGCGCGCAGTGAGTAGAGGTGTGGACTAAAAACCTCTGAAGTACACCCCCCCCTTCCCGCCCTTCCAAAAAAAAAGTTCCAGAACATTCTAGCGCCGTATCAACAAGTGAAGATAAGCGTGGGTGTTGCGCATGCGCAGTGTATCACCGCGAGGCGGGTTTCCATGGTTGGGGTTGTGGTGTACTTGTACTTGAAGGTAAATAAGATGAGTGGTTAATACACTTGCTTCAATAGCCCAGCCTGTGAAGGCACGTATACGCAGGCGCCTCGTTAGATATTTACAAATGTTTTGATGAATGGATTTGATTCGTCCATTAAGTAAACATTATATAGCGAGGAATAAAATAATATATTTTTGGTTTGGTTTTCATTACCTTGTGAATTCGGTCCAGAGTTTCAGTCTGGCATCTCTTTTTAACACGTCTACCCCTCCCCCCCTTTCCCCCCAAGACAAATATATTATATTGATATATGTGTATAAAAGTATATACTTAAAATATTGTCCATGAAATTTAAAGTATGCCACCCCTCCTAGAAGCTTCAAAAATTCCACCCGACCTAGTAGAAAAAATGCTTAAAAGAAACCAAGATTTGTGTCGACTTTGATCAGCTTGAAGACCACTGATGTACCAATACAATGGTTAACGATCTGGCTGTTAATTATGGGATGGTGTAGTGTTTCGAGCAAATTGGTACCCTGAATGTCTGTGGTTGGGGTTAGTGGGTTCGAATCTGTATGAGATATCTGTCAGGTAAGAGTGATGTGTAGGTGAGTTGAGTAGGGCCATGTTGTTGTTTAAGGTTTAGAGTCTGTTATCAATCAAATTATTATATCAGACTATAATTTTTTTATAATCATTTTTCTCCCTTTACATTGCATGAGTTATTTATTTGAGCTCTATTTCAATTAGTTACAGTTGTATTTTTTACTGGTTTGATAGTAGTTTTTTTTAAATAAAATAACAATGTTTTTATTATACCTTACATCTAAATATGAGTAGGTAAATGTAATATATATATATATACATACATACATACATTTATATATATATATATATATATATATATATATATATATATATATATATATATATATATAGCCAACCATAAGCTTTCTTCTTTGCTAAGCAACTGGTTTTACTCTTATATTTTCCCTACCGGCTCTGTTTATTCTTTTAAGAATATGAATGTAGAGTTGAACATACAAGTAACAATGAATTAAGGAGATATCTGCTAATGTTAGTGGCTTAAGATAAACTTCTGCTGATTAAGTAAACAAAAGTTACTATTCCAGAGTCTTTTATGCACTGACTGGATATAGTAAAAAATATGATGATATCTGAACACTGAATTCTTCTATGATAAACATGACAACAGCACGAGCAAAACATTTGTAGTAGGAAGCTGTAATTTACGGTGACAGACTGTGATGACATCTCTGAGAGGCTGAGCTGTAATTTTAGTATCAGATTCATGTGTCTGTAGCAGACTAGGGGTAGGGGGAGGCGTGGATAGGGAGGTGGAATTGTATTTATTTTTTCTATTTCTAAAAACTATAAAAACTAAACGTGAAAGGTTATAAACAAAAACGATGCTCATATTACTTGTGTTTTTTTTCTGAATATTCGCTCCATGATATCAATTTCGCTGATGTTGAATTCAGTTACAAATCTATGGAATATATTTTTTTCCCTTATATGGTATATGTATACTCATCAACGAGACCAGGGTGTATTGTTCTTCCCAGTGGCGTAGCCAGGATCGTCTCAAGGGGGGGGGGGGGGGGTTTCCAATTTTTACCCGGGGACAAACTTTCGATTTGCACCCCCCCCCTCAAACTTTCGACTTGCACCCCCCTCAAACTTTCGATTTGCACCCCCCCCTCATACTTTTTATATATATACCGAGGAGTCTATGGGGGGTTATGACCCCCCCCCCCTAAACCCCCCCTGCCTATGCCACTGGTTCTTCCCCCGGCTGCAATCCAGCTTAATATTTTTTTATTATCGATACAACATTTTATAATATAAAAAGTGAAATCACCTTTTTCAAACCTGAAGGTCCATGTGGAAAGTAAAGTAGAGTTTTCCTGTTTCTGTGACCTCGGCCTGTGAAATGATAGTGGTGTGAGCACTATGCCCTAAAAATTACTCAGACTGCACGGGTTTCGTTCCCGCCATTAGAGGACAGGTAAGCTGACACGCAAACGTCTTGGCCAGCAATAGACATACATTTTAAAATATGCAGTCTACAAATAGACCATGCATCTTTACTCTTTATATAAATATATATATATATATAAATATATAAATATATAAATATATAAATAAATATATATATATATATATATATATATATATATATATATATATATAAATATATATATATATGAGTGTGTGTGTGTTTGGTTTGTGTGTATGTGTGTATGTGTGTATGTGTGTGTATGTATATGTGTATGTTTGTGAATGTCCTTTGTTTGTGCATTACTACACTATTTATCTGATCGCCATGAAACTTTGGATTGATGAGAATTTTTCTGGGAGTGGTTTTTTTTTTTTTGAGAAAAAAAAATTCGCAGGGTCAGTGTCCCGGTAGAAAGCGATTTGACGGCCCGGGCTCCCCCGAGAACACTATGGCGTCTAAAAGCTCCCAACAAAAGTGACACGGTGGCACACGACATTCGATGATTAAACCGAGCCAGTGGTCGTACGACACGCAGTACCAACCAACAAACGCATTTCTACAGAAAAGGAAAGTATTTATTTTATTGTTTACAACAAAAATCCGCTAAGCCTTAATTATAAGCTATGAATATCACACGACAGGAGGTAAAAGATTGTTACTGGCGGTGTGTTGGGTTATATAATTGTCTTAAAAGATATATAATTTCAGTTGATATATTTCTCCTTCAATGCATGTATACAACTTAATACTATTTCCCATTTTAATCTTATCTCACGTTGATAAAGTAGAGTCCTCCTGTTTGTATGAGCATGTGAAGTTGTTCAGTTTTCGAAGAAATATCAACCCGACATTCACGCCATTGTTTCAGTAGACACTCATACTCTGGATTTGATCTCCGTGCTACTGGATGAACCGTCTCCTGCTCTACCTCTTGACCATACCGGTTCCAAACAGAACATAAGTCTGGCCATCACGTGAAAAAAACTTTATACCTATGAGCCAGCACATAACCAGACCCGCGTACACCGTAGAAAGATTTGACCACGGAAGTGACGTATTTCCCTTCCCCGCGCCCCAGGGTTAACTCCACCGGAAGTGACGTTAGCGAAATGGCGTTGACCAGTTCGGCGTCCAGCACGAGCGTGTAGGACCTGTCCACGCAGATATTCGTCGCTTCTATCCCCACGCTCTCGGCGAAAACCGTTTGGACTAAATATAGACATGACGCGTGGAGCGCTGTGATGTTTGATTCCGTCCCGAAATGACCCACCGGAAGTGGTAATGGATTAAAGAAGGGGGTTTCCGAATCCTCATTCCCAGCGTAACTGTGAGGGTCTTTACAAATATGTTGTAACAATATATGTGGGTTGGTTGTGCTAGTGTTGAATAT